ATGAACACATGATGTCTGTGCGGTGCACATGTCAAAGTCAGTTAACCCTCAAGGAAGGGGAAAGCAACTTGTGGGGAAAGTTTTTTGAAATGACAGAAGTGAGCCTCTCACTGATAAATGTGATGTCCCTCTGAAGCAGCTCTCAGATAAAAGGCCAGAGTACTGTCCAGTCAGGCTGGAGTCAGCTGCCCCCCTGTGTCACTGCATGTTACTGCAGGACTGAAGCCTGCCTGCTGCAGCTCTCCTGTCAGACTGAGATGAAGGAGGAAAGATCAGAGACTGTGCAGAGGGACTCCAGATAAAGATCAAACTTACTTACAATCTCCCGTGAACATAAAAAATAAATGAATTTCCCCTTTCATATTCCGTGTTTAAGTATTTGACCTAAATGTGATGTATTATACATCAAGAGAATATCCTAATATGTGACTTATCTGCAGCCCCATAGGCACCGTACGTTTCATCTGTGTAATGCAGACATCTCAATCTATAGCTTCACACTCCTATCTTGATGTTCGGGTTCATGTACAAGTGTGCATGGGTGTGTGTGTGTGTGTGTGTGTGTGTGTGTGTGTGTGTGTATGTATTATCACTTTATATTGAAAAGAGCAGCAGTTCAGGGTCTACTTCATAATGCCAACTCCTCTGATCAATAAATCATTTTCAAACACTGCTGATCGGAGACCACAGCTCTCTGTTGGGGGAACATAGATGTGAGTGTGTGTGTGTGTGTGTGTCTCATGTGAGTTTCTGTCCCTTTGTGCTCATGCAGCAGAAGGGAATGACAGCGAGAAGGAGTGTGTTTACCAGTGCAGTATAGGGTCTATGGAGTATAATGCAATGGAGCATGTTTTAATGACGGAACACCTCAGTGACTGATGGGACACACACACAAACACACACACACACACTCTCTTTGTCTCACTGTCACAGCTGTGTATGTACAGTATTTACTAAATGCTTATGAGTGTGTCTCCCTGTTTATGTGAATGTGTGTGTGTGTGTGTGTGTGTGTGTGTGTGTGTGTGTGTGTTGATGTGTCAGTGTTTGGGTCTTTGTGCGCAGCTCCATACGTCCCCTATAGGAGCTGGTAGCAGGCTGATCTGCAGAGCTCAACGACTGCTCAGCTTCATTGTTCCGTATCTGCAACTCTTCTCTTCCCTCTTTGTCTCATCTCTTTTTGTCCTCTTCGCTGTTGCCCTCCTGTCTCCTCTTCTCTATGTCCTACTTTTTCCAGTCTTCTTCTTTGTCTTCTTTGTCTCCTCCTCTTGTCTCCTCTCTCTTCTGTCTTATCCCCTTTTTCTTCCTTCTCTTTTCCTTTGTCCTGTTCTTTTTTGTCATCTTCTCTGTTCTCTTCTCCTTCGTCATATTTTCTTTCCTGTTTTGTCTTTTTTGTCCATGTCTCTGTTGTCCCTCCCTTTCCCCTTTTCTCCCCCCTTCGTTTTTGTCCCCCTTTTTTATCTTTTGTCTTCCCTCTCTTCCTGATTTATTCTTGTCCTCTTGTGTCCTCTTTGCTCTTTCTGTCTCTTCTTGATGTCCTTCCAGTCTTTTCTTTTGTCCTCTGCTTCTCTCTTTTGTCCTTGTCTCCATTGTCCCTCCTCTTGTCTTGTCTTGTCTTCACTCCTTGTTCTCTTTTATTGTGTCCTCTTCTTCACCTCTTCTCCTTTGCCCTCTGTTTAGTCCTCTTCTCCCTTCTTTTCTCCTCTCTTCTTGTGTCCTCTTTTTGTTGTCCTCTTCTTCTGTCTCTGTGTTCTTGTCTTCCTTTGTCCTGTCATCTCCTCATCTCCTCTTCTATGTCCCACTCTTCCTATTCTTCTTTGTCTTCTTCCCTTCTGTGTGTCCTCTTTGTTCTTCTTTGTCCTCTTCTTTATTGTCCTTATTTTCTCTTCATCTTTCCAGTTGTCCTCTCCTCTCTTTTCCTTTCCTTCTCTCTTTCCTCTGGGTGAGATATTGCCTCTCTGATGCGTTGTGACAGTGACGTTAATGGAAGCACTGTACATTTAACGACCTATATCTCCGGAAATTCCTCTGCCGCTTCTCATTGCGTGCGCACACACACACACACACACACACACACACACACACACACTTGAGACAATACAAAACACAATCAGTGCAGCAGATACAGGTCTGTACACCTGTAAACACAGCAGATATGTGTTTGTTGTTTCTTCTGGATAAAAGATTAATAGGATTATTGGCTTATGTGTTTATGCAAGTGTGTGTGTGTGTGTGCGTGTGCGTGCATGTGTGAGCATCAAAGGACAAGTGTCATTTAACTCGGTATGACTGTCACTTGGCTGTGTATGTGTGTTGTGATATATCACACCACTGTCAACCGCACAACAAAAGAGCGAGGGAATAGCGGAGCTGGGAAAAGGGGGTGAGAAAGAGTAAGTGAGCAGAGAAGAGGAAGCAGGGATGAAAATGATGAGCGGGAAAAAATTATGATTAAGAGGATGAAGGAAAAAGAGAGATGAGAATGAGTTGAAGAGGAAATGAGGGAGGAAAAAAGAAAGCATGAGTGTGGTAGGAAAGATAGAGGAAGAAAGTAGAGATAGAACAAAGAAAAAAAGAACAGATTATTAACGGTACACTTGTAGAGATGCTGTGTGAGCTATGATATGGATTAGACCACACAGAAAGGCTCTATATATTACGATGTGTAATAACTAAAGAAGAAACAAGGTTAGGGTTATATATGTATGCATGTATATAACATAGTCTGTAATGTAGGAGTCGATCATATCATTCTATTCTCTACTTTGAGTGTTTTTTTCTTTACTACTATTATACAGTTCTCCTTCATCAACGAATTCCAGGCACTTCATGTTGTTGTGGAAACAATTAATTGATTAGTTAGACAGGTGTATTTTTTCAGTTTCCCCAGTGTGAGGATTTGATGCTTTTCCTTGTCTTACATAATAACAACCTGTAAATCTTTGTGGCTCTGAAGGACTGAAGATCATTTTAGGTTCTGTTAAAATGTGACTCAGCTCATGATATTTTCTGACATTTTATGGACCAAACAATTATTTGTCAGATGAATCAATTATGAAAATAATTATTAGTTGCAATCCCACATCCGGCTGCTTAAAGGACATGCCCTGTCCTTCCCTAGCAGGCTTTTAATGCGAAATATTTTTACAGTGATGAGTTTCATTGTTGGTTGCTTAACTGTAACCCATAGAATGGAAAAGGAAAAGTGATTGGAATAAGTGAATTAATATCTCTCTGCCCCTTGCCAAAATTTCAGCGTCTGAACATCTAAGTCAAAGTAATGCGTGGCTAAATAATATATAAATCTGTTTTTTCCCCATTATTTTATTTGATAGGGACGATGCAATTTAGATAGATAGATAGATAGATAGATAGATAGATAGATAGATAGATAGATAGATCTTCCCTGATACAGTCACTCTCAATTTATTCGCTGTGCCATGCAGGCAATGAACACAGAATGATAATAAACAGTTGTACCCTCAGCTTATTTAACACAACCCTCCCCTCTTCAGCTCCAGTCTGTGATCTTTGTCCTTTGTCCCCATGTAGCTGGTGAAGGCTATGCAGCCATCTGCCACTATCGGGGGCAAGTTCCACCCATAACGATAGCTTGTAAAACATCCTATAGGTGGCGATCAATCAGCCAAACCAATAAATTGGTCAACCTCTAGTTAATTCCATCCCCTTTTTGCCTTTATTTCTTCATACTTATCCATTGTTTGAATACCAACTTTTATTAAGGAATTTCTGACATTGTAATCCCGTAGAATGTGCAGGACTGAAGCCGGATGTCTGTGGGACTCCCTCTATGCAGATGACGTCCTGTTCTCTCTTTGCTCCCATCCTGTTCTCTGTCCCATTTGTGTCAGATTGGACTGACTTCATGAGAAGTTAGCTGGCCCACTGATGCTCTGCTCTCAAATTTGTAGGTGAAATGGTCATAAAGGTGATGTTCTGATCACTCTGAATTCACAAGGTGTGACGTAGGCTGATGGTTTCGAAAAATGTTGGTGACCAAGAAAGCAGCTTTATTTTTTTCTGTCAGTTTTTGTCTCTATCACTAAATAAAAGATCGAGTGCAAAAAATTCAAATGATTGTTTTTGAGGAATGAACAAAGCCATTCTTTTTCACTTACTTCACAACAACCTTTGAAAAGTGCTTACAACAATTCTAGTCACATTTTGTACTAGATTTATGATGTTAAAAAAACAATCTTGTGTTTCCCATGTGATTGTGTGATTGTTAAAGTAAATTTCTATTTGTTGATACCTCCTTCACCTCAACTTCATCATCTTTGTTCTCCAGCATCACAACACATCCTGCATTAGCTGAGCACTTAGTAATCTTTAATTGGAGAATTCTGTCTGTCTTCGGTCTAATTGATTCCCAATAGTGGATGTTATGACAGCTGCTGCAGCAGCCTGTGGGCTGTAATCAAATCCCACATGTTACTTAACCTTTTCACATCCACTCCAGCTGATTAGCTGCTGTCAGGCGGCATATGCACTATATTGAAATTTATGCGGATATCTGATTATTTGCATGGCCAGTTTGTCCATTCTTGATTCAGAAATTTTCCATTTCATTGCAGTACTGCCACATGTCCAGTATCCAGCAGTAGATTTCACCTACAGCTCTGATGCTTAATGTTTTATCACTAACTTTCACATGTGAAACTGTGTGAACAAGCTGCAGATGAGTCATACACATACTCTGGTTCATCGGTTTAGATAGATGGATGTAGGAATTACTGAGAAAACGCTCATGATGTTAATGCTGTAACCACTGGCTGATATTAGGCTAACTATTTTGTGCAATAGTTAAGTTGTTTGTGCAAAGCAAGGAAGGCACACACATTAAAACTTAATGATAGAGTTACTGTGCATTATTAATGAATAAATAGTTGGGGGTGTTGTAAGAAAAAAATATAAAGGGAGCCATGGTTGTTTTTTGAATGAAAACTAATAAAATATAATGATCTCTCTCTCTCTCTAAGGTGTGGAAGCAGAGCTTCTGTCTGAAGCAGCTCCTGTGGTTATTTGGAGACTCATTGAGGCCATTGAGAAACACGGTGAGAAAATAGAAACATCTGTGTGTTAAGTTTGATTCTGGAGTCAGGATATGGTTAACTTAGCATAAAGAGGGAGAAGGAGAAACAGCGAGCCTGACTCTGAAGTGAAAGAATTGTGCCGATGTATATATGTATTTATAGCACCCTTTTAGGGCAACTGGTGATGCATTTTATAATTCAGCAGGACTGTATGAAGTATGTAATTTAAATGTAACATCAGTAACCTGGAGCCCTAACAGCAGCCTTTACATTATATGTAATACATGACATTGGTTTGTCAGAAGAAAACACATGCTTTGAGGCTGACACACAGCAATTTTCTCAGCTGACCCCCTCTCTTTTCTTCTCCCTCTGTTTTTCCTGCAGGTTTAAACAATGAGTCTCTGTATCGAGCTCCTCCAGCCTCCAGTGGACCTGCAGAGCTGCGGCAGGCACTAGACTCAGGTACCATCCAGTAGATAAATTTAAGGACAGAAATTTAACCAGATGTGATCATTTGAAACTCCTCCAGCGTGGCACAAGTCTCAACTGAATGCTGTCACATTAATGGCAGTGCCACAGCAGCATGAGGTTACAAATTGAATTTCTTATGTGCAAAGAAAATAAAATTAGTCAAAAGTTCAAAAACTTCCAGCGCACACTAGAATATCAGGATTGACACAGAGTTTATTCAAAAATGTTTAAAAACAAAAGGAGCGAACAACGCGTTTCGCATGTTGCTTCATCAGATTCGCTCTTGATTGTCATCAGGTGTGTGCTTAAATAGTCAGGGCAAGTAACAACCGGACAATCAATCAATCAATCAATCAGTCAATGAGAAACAAGTACAAAATACATAACCTAGCAGTAATATTAAAGGGAGAGTACATACAATATAAATAGAAATAGATATCAAAACAGTGATACAAGAAAATACTTTATAATTGCACAGTTCATCATCTGACAATTCTTTTTCTCACTTCATTAAGGATATTGTAGGGACTTTGCCTTCTTACATTCAAGACACTGGTGATGTCTTGAAATTACTGTCTAGTTTGAAAGTGCCTAAAGATTCATTTTTGGTAACTCTCGATGTGGAAAGCCTATATACTAACATTCCACATATAGGTGGTCTTGAAGCTATGCAACATTTTTTAGAATTGGAAGGAGATTTGCCAGTTGAATTTTTAATGACTCTTACAGAATTTATTTTGAGTTGTAATTATTTCAACTTCAATAAAAACTACTACTGCAGGTTCAAGGGACAAGCATGGACTCTCCCTTCGCCCCTAATTATGCTAACTTATTTATGGGGCTGTGGGAGAAGAAGTATATATTCATCAACAACCCCTTTTTGGAAAACATTTTGTTTTATAAGAGATACATTGACGATGTGATTTTGTGTTTTACATCTAATGAGGAGGATCTTCATGGGTTTGTGACTATATTAATCATACTTATCCTACACTGAGATTTACTATGGAATATAGTTAAGAGAAAATTCATTTCTTGGATTTGTTGATATCTAAAAATGAAAGTGGAGAACTTCATACCTCTATTTTTCGAAAAGATAGTTGATAGAAATGTTATCCTACGTGCTGAAAGTTACCATCCTAAGAAAATGATAAACAACATTCCTTATGGACAATTTGTTAGGTTAAAACGTATATGCAATAAAGATAATGATTTTGATGTTAAAGCAAGAAAAATGAAGACAAGAGTTGTCCACAGAGGGTACAAGGACCACGTCATTGATACAGCCATCAACAAATCTAAAACTCTCAATAGAGAGGAACTTTTAGGCTCATCTTGTAGACTTGCAGACAACAGAGTCACTTTTGTGTCTGAATACAATACTATCTCTGGGAGGGTGGAGAACATTATTAAAAAACACTGGAGTGTACTTAAATGTGACCCCGCTTTGCAGCATTATCTCTGCCTCCATGCCAAGGTTCTGCTACAAAAGAGGTAGAAACATACGTGACTCTATTGTTACATCAATGTATAAAGAACCTGACATGAAAACTAACTGGCTTTCTAAGGAAGTATATGGTAATTATAGGTGTGGCAGATGCACCCATTGCTCTAACACGTATGACACCAAAGAGTTCTGTCATCCTCATACAGGAAGAAGTATAAAATCAAAGAGTTCATTAATTGTATTTCTACACGTGGTGTATATGCTCAAATGTCCATGTGGGCTTATATATGTGGGCCAAACCAAACGTAATCTCAAATTGAGAATAGCTGAACACAAAGCAGCTATAAGAAATGAAAATATGGACTATGCTGTTGCAAGACACTACAAGGACAGAAGTCATGGTTGGGCTGCCTCTCTTAAATTTATAGGTATTGAGAGAGTTAATCCTAATCCTAGATGCATCATTAACCAGCTATTGAAGAGAGAAGCCTACTGGATATACACCCTTAATTCTTTAGAGCCACATGGACTAAATGAGACATTAGACTTAAGTCCATTTTTGTAAGTTTACTATATGTCTAACTTTTCTCTGCTTCTGTGTCTGCAGGTAATGTATAGGGAAAGTTGAGCCACTTTCACCCCTCCTGGCACATCCCCTTCCCCTCCTCTCCCTGTGTAGACAGGAATGCTTGAGTAGATATTGTAGATTGTGGTATAACCTTTGTAACTTCTGGAGTATCTCCTCTTTTGTTTATATCTCTTATATTGGCCCACTTGTTTTTGATATGTATTTCTAAAAAAAATCTGACTATTTGACTATTTATACTGTACTCACTCTCCGCTGTTTATATGAGTTGGTACAGCCAGATTATGTATTTTGCATTTATATCTCATTATTGCAATGGGTCTTAACAAGTATGTAAAAACATTTTTCTTCCTTTTTGATCTATACTATTTATATGGTTCACGCCCTACCTCAAAATTAGAGTTGAGACTTGTCAGATGATGAACTGTGCAATTATAAAGTATTTTCTTGTATCAATGTTTTGATATCTATTTCTATTTATATTGTATGCACTCTCCCTTTAATATTACAGCTAGGTTATGTATTTTGTATTTGTTTCTCATTGATTGATTGATTGATTGACTGATTGTCTGGTTGTTACTTGCCCTGACTATTTAAGCACACACCTGATGACAATCAAGAGCGAATCTGATGAAGCAACATGCGAAACGCGTTGTTCGCTCCTTTTGTTTTTAAACATTTTTGAATAAACTCTGTGTCAATCCTGATATTCTAGTGTGCGCTGGAAGTTTTTGAACTTTTGACTGTGATTTATCCTACACCAGCAGGCACCTAGAAGAAGCACTGCACTGCTGTGCACAGGGATTTACTGGTTTTGGGTTTTTTTTAAATAAAATTAGTATTTTAACCACTGACATTGTGAATGAGCCTTTTAGCTTGTAGAAGAGATTCTCCTCAGGTCAGATTGGTCATTAAATGTGTTTTCAATTTAACAGTGCAAGAGTGAAAAAAAAACTGAATAAACTTCATTGGAATTATAAATGACAATGGCAGCTGACCCGCTGTTCCATGCCTATATTTAGTATTTAGTATATTATATTTATTTCATCCATGGAGCCCATTGATTGCAAGTCAGTTGATCAGGTTGGGGTTTTGCAGAAAGGCTGATTAAATCGTAGTGTGAGTAAACACAATGTACAAGATTAATAAAGCTTTATAGTGTTTTCCCATTTTAAAGTGAAAATAGTTTTTGCTTTAACTTAATTTTATGATGTAAATGTTGATTGCACAATGTGATGTCTGTAGAACAGTGACACCATTGACGTTTAGATTGGTTGCCTATAAGCCTTGCTTTCACTGTGCAATTCTGTCTGCTGCCAGATATGACCTCCCCAAAAAATTAAGGCTTTATGGCACAAGAGAAGTGCGTTAACCATTGCACAGTTTAAACAGGAAGAGGACTGAGCTGTTGTTTTCCTCGGTAGCTATTCCCAGTTACCAAAGAGTATCAATATAAGTTCTTTACAGTTACAATCCCCAGTAGTGAAAATGGCAGATGGTAGAACAGCCAAAGTAACTGACTGTGGAAGCTCTACTTGCTTGGTAGCTGTAGGCTCTGAGGAAAATTATCCTTTTTTTTTTGGTTTGTTTGTTTTTTTGACGATGGCGCCAACAATAATACCCCTTGGGAACACCAGGGGAAGGGAGGGGGCATGGGGTATTGCACAGTTGTCCATTTCTACGTTAACATTGATCAGTGCTAACAGTAAGAATTTCCAGCACTGTTTTGCCAACAGCATGTTGGAGGGACAGTTAGCATCTGTTTTAACTGTGCTTCAATGCTGTCGGACTTTATAAATGAGGCAGCAGAATTCTTTATTCTAATGATAAATAATGATGGGAAAGCATAAGAGGGGATCCACCAAGGAGATGCAGGATGAATAAGTTTTAAGTTCTATCATTAAAGGGATAGTGCACCCAAAAATGAAAATTCAGCCATTATCTACTCACCCATATGCCGACGGAGGCTCAGGTGAAGTTTTAGAGTCCTCGCATCCCTTGCGGAGATCGGCGGGGGGAGCGGCTAGCACACCTAATGGCTGACGGCACCCCAGACTAACGTCCAAGAACACAAAATTGAAACCACAAAATATCTCCAACATGCTCATCCGTAGCAATACCAGTGTCCTGATGAAGTGATACATAAAAAGTTGTTTCGAAAAACATCATATGCACTCTGTTTTTAGCCTCACTGTAGCCTGTAGCTCTGACTGCTTCTCTGTGCTCCACGTTCACGTGTGCGCGCCTGCGCGAGACCAGCGAAAGCATGAGCTTTGCTTACCCGTATTTACATCACGTGACACGTGCACCGCAGGGAGAGACAGCAGTAACCACAGTAACTTAAAGATTATTTGCACTACGGTCTTTTAGCAAAGGACAGCCCAACATGTCTAAAGTCTTTGAAACTGAGGAGGAACAGCATTTCTTTGTTGAGCCCTATTTGTTTGAGCCCGAGTATAGTATACCGGAGTCGAGCACTGGAAACCTGGTGGTGTAGTTGTTTCAAATGTAAAGCAATGCCAACGGATGAGGAAAGTCTTTGCTGCTCAGACTGGGAATTGGCGATGCCTGCATTTGAGAATCTGGACATCAGTACTGACGAGACTGCTGCTCTTCAGAGACCGTGCATCACCGATCACCCTGAGCACGCACACGTGAGCGCGGAGCACAGAGAAGCAGTCAGAGCTACAGGCTACAGTGAGGCTAAAAACAGAGTTCATATGACGTTTTTCGAAACAACTTTTTATGTCGGGGCTGCAGCACACTTGTATCACTACGGATGAGCATGTTGGAGATATTTTGTGGTTTTAATTTTGTGTTCTTGGACATTAGTCTGGGGCGCCGTCAGTCATTAGGTGTGCTGGCCGCTGCCCCCGCCGATCTCCGCAAGTGATGTGAGGACTCTAAAACTTCACCTGAGCCTCCGTCGGCATATGGGTGAGTAGATAATTGCTGAAT